GTTTGTGCTCTTCTGTTGCTCCAGATGTTTTTTGGTGTAACTGTATGCGCTCCTCTGTCGCTCCAGATGTTCGTGGTGTAACTGTTTGTGCTCCTCTGTCGCTCCAGATGTTGCTCTCGACACCAGAACAGGTTGAAGTTGAAGCTTAAAGAGCTTCCTGTTGGTTTGAACTCGGCTGTGTGGAAAAGTTGCTGGTTCTGATCCGAGGCAGCCGTGTAGAGCAGGAGGTGGAAGTACGGCAAGCCACGCAGGTCATAACTTTGGTGTTGAAATGTGTATGGCAGGCTGTTTGTGTATTTTTCTGTAAACTGCATCGAGCCTCATGTCTCCACTTTAGCACTCAGCTAGCTGAGGAGCTAACAGCTGATGTTTAGCATTGTTTGTTTTTATTTGTTGTTGTGAAGCCGTACAGATGCTCGGTCTGAGGCAAACGGTGTCACACCAGACACTGACTGGTTTTATGACCCCCCCAGTAAAACTGCACGTTAGAGGGGCCTTTTGTTGTGGTCAGCCTAAGGCTCAGCTGTCGTCTGCTCAGCGTCTTCCTGCGAGGTGGAGGGATCACCTCGTGAAGAAGTGCTCACCAACAGATTTACACAAAGACGAGAACGTTTGAGAGAAAAAACCTTTTGTGTTCGTAGAAGAAGTTTTTAGATCTTCGGCTGATAACAGCCAAAGTGTTGTTTTGTATTTTTGTTCAGTTTTCAGACCCTTTAAAATCTGCTTCGGCTGCTGGCTCTGGTGAGTCTTCCTGTGCTCCTTCTAGCTGAAGTCCTGCTGTCGTTGGGCTTTCAGCTAGCCTGTTGCTTCTTTTAGCTTTTAGCTGTTGTTTGTAGCTTTAGCTCAGTTTCGGCTTCTTCGTTCGGCTCTCAGCGTTCTCTGTATTTTCAGAGAAAATGTCGTTTTTCTGCTTCGGTTCTTTTTTGGTTTGTTGGTTTGAAACCAACATTTATTTTAATTTTACTTTGTTGTTGAATGTTTCTGGAGTTCCTCAGGGTTCGTGTGGAGCTCGTTCCTCGTCGGATGGAAACGAGCGTTTCATCTGAGTCTGGATCAGTCCCTCCTCCACGACGGTTGCTGCTCAGATCATGTTTCAAATCATACATTTGTTTTTAGCTTCTTCTCGTCTGGGTTGTGAGGCTCCGGTGGAGCTTTGACCCAAACTGAGACCTCAGCGTCTCCGGGGGTCTGAACACCTGAGTGTTGATCCGGTAGCAGCAGGTGAGGAGCGGTGTTGGTTCAGAACATGGACTCCACCTGACGATGGTTTTTAATCCCGACACAAACAGAGTTGGTGACCGAGTTATTTACACTTGTTGTGAATAATTCAGATCTTTGTTCCACTCCTACATTCTGTCCCCCCCCCCAGTGTTTAGGAAAAGCCCCGTACAGGACCTGAAGTGCCCTCTTGGTCTAGCGGAGCCGGACTTCCTGGACCTTCTGAGGTCCACCTTCCCTCAGCTGGCGAACGGAGAAGCTTTTGACCTGTTCCTGAGCACTAGGAGCAGGAGGCTGCAGCGTCTGGAGGTGTCAGCTGTGACTCCAGAGGAGGTCCACTCGGCCATGAGGTCCTCCGGACACTCGGCGCTCTACATCCGGCTGAAGGTCGGCTCAGTACACGAGTTCACGTTCGAATGTCGTTTGAAACGTAGCGACCGTGGAGACGGCACTGGAAGTGTCTTCTTGTGTGAATGTTTCTAGTCAGCAGGAGCTTCTCAGAGCAGCGCTGAAGATCTTCATCCTCCTCAGAAACACGACGCTGAGCAGAGATCCAGCTCCACGTCCCTCGAGCAAACCAGAGTGGTGTCGAGGTAAGAACCAACGGACGCAACGAATGAAACACCAGCAGTGACCACGCCCCCGTCTCTGAGGGAGCTGAACTGTAGTTTGTTGTTCTGGACATGAGTGTTTTTCTGGACTGGAACTGAACAGAGTCTGGACAGTCCACCTCTGGACCCCTCTGGTCCTCAGAGCGGACCAAAGGTGGTACCAGGCCCGGACCGGTCCACATCTGAACTTGGGCCGGCTGTGGGGCTCAGACTGATTTGATAACGTGACCAAGTGATGGTGTCCAAACTCTGTAGCTGGAGGACTCATTTCAGAGGAGAACTTCCTGTTGGGGCTCATTTCAAGGAAGAACTTCCTGTTGGGACTCATTTCAAGGAAAAACTTCCTGTTGGGACTCATTTCAGGGAAGAACTTCCTGTTGGGACT